CTCGTTTTAGAAAAAACATCGAAGCAACAACAAATCCATGTTGTGCCCCCAGAAAGCAGCACGATAAATGTCCGTAATATCACGTGCAATGGAAAACGAAACATCAGGCAATTGATACGCGTGACACCGATGGGCTCTGGTAATCCAAGATCGATCCTATTGCCTGTAAGTTTGAAAGACATGAAGGAAGTACGGACCATCAAGATCATCAATGCTTCGCAAGCTAGAAATTTCAAAGGATTCAAGATCAATCAGGCCAATATCATCAACAAGCCAGTTCAGGTACCTGAAACATCATTGCGTGTCAATTAATCCTTAGCTGGTATCATTAGACAATAGCAGCCATAAAAATTTGGATTTTACATTGCTTAATCTTGGAGTTTTTAACTTGATTTAATTTTATTACTAATCTCTATCATTTTTTATAACAGTACAATTTTAAAGTTCAACCAATTAATTTCAAATTACCAAAATTACCTTTTTATTTGATTTTGCCACTAAATGTGTTCATAACTTTAGAAATATTATTCACGATGTTAAAATATTGTTTCAACTCTCAAGTGGTATCATTGGATTATAGATAACTATTATACAATAATCTATGTTAAATTACAAAAATCTAGAGTATATAATTCTATTTTGTATTTTACATTCTCTGTGAGATTACTGATAAAATTAAAAAAAAAAAATTTAATTCCTACATTTAATCCCCATTCTCTGTGAGATTACTGATAAAATTAAAAAAAAAAAATTTAATTCCTACATTTAATCCCTATTGTTGAGATCTTCAATATTCAAATTGATAATAGCTAAATTAATCCATTAAGGACCAAGCAATAATTTATCATAATTATCGCAAGTGCTTCAATTTATTTAAATTTTACAAAACTACAGAATCAAGGCGAAGACATAACAACGAAAAAAATATTAAACAGTTCTTTGGATTTTTTTTTTATAACTTCAAAATGGAATTTGATAATATGAATTAATTGAAGAGAATTGCAAATGTTGCATTAACTTTGATTCTTAAAAGTTTAGTTAAACTTCAATCACTGAGTCAACTTCTACTTTTAGCTATTTTATCCTCAGTTTTTTATTCTCAATAATTTTATTCTTAAATGAAAAGAATATTCTTTCTTTTCAATTCATTTTTTGTTTGCACGTAGAATCACCATGACTAGTTCTCCTGTCATTTACATGTTTTCTTACTTTTCTCTTTTTTTTTTT